ATGTCTGTGCAGACCTAATGTTGGGTCCAGGAGATTACTGTGTGCTTCTGTGTGTTTAAGCAATCTTCAAAGCTTCAGGAGAGGGGGTTGGCCAGTGTGTTTGCATTCTTTGTTTTTTGCTCCTAGGTTAGAGATTTATTTCCTTAGCTCCACAAACCCTTGAAAGTACATCTGAAGGAAGAGCTTCTTTTCCTGGAGGGAACTAAGAGGTTGCTATTAGAAGGCCTAGAGATAGAGGAATAGATGCCTTTGGATGCTGGCCCAGAAAGTTGTGAGAAAATGAGACATTGTTTTAGCATAGTACTCTGTTGGGCACTGTAATTGCTCCTGTTAAGTCAGAATTTCTTCAGAAAGATGTTTGAAGGGAAACAAAAAAGACCAACCAAAAAGTCTCCATGGGATTCTGGCAGGCCTATCCTGGTTAAATCCTCTGTATATTCATGGGCCCTCCCTGTTGGCACAGTGGATTAAAGCACAGCACGAGGAAACTAAAGCCACTTCAGCATGAGTTCAATCCCCACCCGGGAGGTGACCACATGGCACAGCAGACCTCTTCTGACCTGCCCACTGCTCCCTTCAGCAGTATACTTTGTCAGTTGGCCTGTTTTGCTCCCCATTCTGTCTCTGGTGAATCCTCTCACTGACCCTGCACCTCTGGCCTGTACCCAGTTCTGTATGCATAAATAAATAAATCTTTAAAAAATCCCCACAGATAAATGCCATCTTGCTAATAAGCACATTGGAGATTGCTCATGTCCGAGGAAGAAACTTGCCCAAGGATTCATTGTGGGTTTCCGAGACGCTGCCTGGCCCTTCCTGCCTGTGCCCTCAGCAGCTCTTCCTCTGGGAAGCTGTCTCTGAATAGGGGTGCAGAGCCCATTGTAGGTAAGGGGGCAGCGGCTTCTCTCAATGCTCTTGGGCAAACTGAGCTCAGGTGTGAATCGCCACAGATGTGCCCATGCGAGGAGGAACCTGGGGCTCTGGCATCACAGTGCAAACAAGGTACTTCAATGGGTAGGCCAGATGTCAGGCACTAGTAGTGTGACCTTGGAGAATTTGTTATTGATATCTCTGAGCCTCAGTCTTGTCAGCTGGAAAATGGGTTGGTTGACCATTCAGCTCCTCGTTTGAGTTTAAGGCTAGGTAAGATCATACTTGTGAGAGTCTGAGCCATCGCTCAGGACAATAAGGTCATTTCTCTTCTGTTATCCACCCTCCTTCCTTCTCTATACAGGTTATTTTAAGCTGCTGTCTAGATTTTCCCTGCACCACTGAGAAGTCAGTAAAATTCAGTCCCTGTCTCCTTTTTCTTCTTCTCCCCTAATGCACACATTGAAGAGGACCCAAGCCTGAGGCTGGGCTCCCAGCCAGGGACTGCAGGACTGGGCCGTTTACTCTATGATTCCAGTATCTTCCTCTCCCAGGGAGGTCCTAGGCCCAGGGGCTTGCCACGGCTTCCTCTCACTTCTGTTTGTAGAGCTGCCCTGTGCATGTGTTTGCTTTTTGCTGGCTGCCCAGGTCTCACTGAAGTCTCAATTTCTCCCTAGGCAGGATTTAGTGACGATAAAGCAGCTGATTGTTGAATGCTGTCACCAGTCAGGACTCTTGGTTTCAAATGGCAGAAACCCAACTGGAATGAGCTTAAGCAAAATGGGACTCCTTGGAAGGCTCTAGGGAGGGCTGAAAGACTGACGGTAGTGCTGCAGAATCCAGTTCCAAGAGGGCAGGTGGCCTTTAACAGTCCCAGGCCAGCATTCCTTGCTCAGTGCTGATGACATCCGGCAGCTTCCAGATGATTCCACACTGGTCTCCACCTGAGGACTGAGCCTTCCCTTGGATATTTCAGATGGAATGCAACCCAATTAGAGCATGTGCAGATCCTTTATACCTAAGAATGTGGCCGTGGAGAAAAGACCCCCTGATAGAGCTATCTTGAGCCCATGCATGTCCTATGCAGTGGGTCATGGGAGACAGTAGAATCTGTTCTAGGAATAAAAAGAACACTATACTAGTAATACTGATACTTAATAATTTGCACTTATTTTATTGAGTGCTTATTTTGTGCCAGGCATTCTTATCAGTTCTTTACCTGTATAACTTCTTTCATCTTCAAGGTCAATCCTATTTTACACAAAAAGAAGCATACACTGAGAGGCTGAGCCCTCTGCCCAAGGTCACATCTCTAGCTGGTAAAGAGCTGGCAAGGAACCCAAGCAGGGGATTCCAGGTGTGTTGTTAGTCCCTGCAGAGGACAGCAGCAGATGCTGTCTCCACGCCTTATTCTGTACCCCCACGCTAGCTCTGAGTCCTTCAAAGTGCTGCCTCATTTCATCTGCAGAACAGCCCTGTGGGGTACTCATATTATCCCCATTTTTAGAGAAAAAAGGTGAGGAGAGTCTGTGACTTGCCTGGGACTGCCAGACTAAATTTAAGTGACAGAACTGAGATAGGAACCCAGCTTTGCCTGATTCCGGGACCTGGCATCCTGACCATTCTGCCAGGGAAGTAGAGAGACCTGCTTCAGCTTCCAGCCTTCGTCCTCTGTCTGAGAGAATGCCTCCCGCCTCCCAGGAGAGGAGGCTGGGTGTGGATACCTGTTTGGCACATGCAGCTTGGACTGGCTTTGGGCTTCTTTGGTGGACTTGGGGTGTCTCACACTAACTTGCACCAGAGGGTTCTTGAACAGCCTCCAGTGCGTGCATGCTCTTCAGGCCTCCACTCAGCAGATATTGGTGGAGCACCCCGTGGGTGGCAGGTCTGGTTCCAAGTGCCCAGGTCCTTCAGTGAAGACCCTGCCTCTGTGGAGCTACTTTGAGGGAGACAGAGGGAGAGGCCCCCCTTTTGTGTCCCTTGGATCTATTAGATCAGTGATGCTCACTAGAAACTTTTCCTGAGCCTCCCTAATCAGGCCTAATCAGCGTGCTGCTTTGGGTGGGACTGGCAGGAGGGCATGTCCTAGAGAGGATGCTGTGTCTTCATTCCGACTGGGTAAATGAAGGAAACATTGTGCTGGGGACCCAGCATGGTCATGGGCGCAGACAGTGTGGTCTCACGTGAGTCCCAGCCTGCTGCAGTCAGTGCTGACCCAGTCTCCGGGGGAGGCACCTGCTGTGCTGTGCCTCAGTTTCCCCTTTGGGACAGACTTCACTGTTTGCCTCATGGGGTTGCTAGGAGGGTCAGTGCCACTGCATACTAACCACCTACCACCGTGCCAACAAGTGGGTTAATTCCCTTTTGTCTCTTAGCTGCAGGCCAGCTTTGTAGGTGTGTCTAAAAGTCAGGGCCCACGTAAGAGGGCAAGTGGAAGGCCCTTGGTGAAGAAATCACCAATAAGATCAAGATCCTCATTTTACAGATAAGGAACCTGGGACCTTTCAAGGGCCTGAAGACCTTCTCGTTTAGTGGAGTTAAAGGAAGCTGGAAGTGTGCTTGGCTGTTGGGCTGACCGAGAGGGTGCATGTTGCCCTCAGAGTGGTGGATCAGGGTGTGCAGGCTTGTGTGGGGATCAGCCCAATTGTTGGCCTTTGTAGTCTGGTCCAGAAACACCCACCTCCCCCCACCGTGAAGACTACCCAAGCAGAACCTGAGAACCTGCTGCCTCTGTTTTCCTGCTGCTAGCCTCAGCAGTGTCTCAGGATAGGTGGGGGCTTTTGATCTGTGAGATCCAGAGAACTTCCGGAGGTCTAGGGCTGCACCCCAATGTCCAGCTTCCCTAAACACTACAGCCAGAAGCTTTTCTTGAGCATCAGGGAGCAGAGAGTTGGAGGTTTCAGCTTCTCTGACTTTTGGCTCAAGGCAGCAACACAGAACCTACAACTCAGGCTGTTAGAATGTGACCCAGGCGGGCCAGCCTGTTTGTCAGCTGCCACGGGCCAGAGGGGTGTGGCTTGATAATGAGGATGATGACGAGGATGGTGGCAGCTTCTGCCCAGGTGGCTGCCCTCAGAGCTTGCCAGGCTGCTTGCAGGGTGTGCGGGCCCATTGCTGCTGTGCGGGGGACTCTCGCCCAGTGTGATAGGATGTAAATCCTGCCTTGCTGGGGCCAGGGCTTTCCTTCTGTGTTCCAGTCTGTGCAGCCCCACTGAGACACAGCATGTCCAGCTTCTAACAGTGCTGTTCCAGGCATGGCCTGGCTCAGTAAACAACAGCTTCCCTCGTGTGAATTGTCTGAGACTTGTGAACAGTGAGCCCCAACCCCCCCGCTCTGAAGGCAGGTCTTTGTGTGCTTGAGAGGACACGTGAGCTAGTTTGCACGGGCACGTAGCCTGTGCCCTGTTGAGCAATGTGCGCGTACATTCTAGGCTATGGCATAGCCTCTCGTAGAGCTCCAGTTTCACGTCTGTTTTGGTCTTTGTCTCCTCGAGGTTACCCCTTGGACGTTTGAAAATTTCTTTTGAAATGTAAAGTAAATCCTTACAAATCTCTTGTGATTCTAGCTCCATTTTCTAAACAGGTGTAGGGCCTTTTCTGCTCCAGTTGTTAGATGCAGCCAGATCATTTGGGTGGTTATTGGAAGCCAAAACAATAATTTAGGAAGCTCAGCCATGACTGCATGGTCCATTTTTATAGCTTCTTAGTTTTGTTAGCATTTTGGACCTTCTCACCTTAGGAAATATGACAAGCTTTCCATTGGTTACTTACCAAATTGTATATCAACTTGAGTTACTTGGATCATGTCTTAAGCTTAGAAATGTTGCCGTTTCTGTTTTTACTAAAGCAACTAATAAAACATTCTTCTCCAGACCCACCTTATTTTCTCAGTAACCTTTGTGTAGAGCCATGATCAGCGCCCAGGATGCCAGGCTGTGGCAGAAAACTGAATGCATGTAACCGTCTCCCTGCTTCTTTCTTCACATGTGAAACTTGGAGTGCACAGGGAAATACTCCGTCCTTTCCTCTTGTTGGGCAAAGTGCAGAGGCCTGGGGGGCTTTTGGGCTAGGGAAGAAGTGAGGCTGGAATGTGAGATAAGGCAACTGACATTAATTTCTTGTTTTTAAAGGAACATGGCGACCTGTGTGTGGCTCATCCTGGAAGGAGGTGACTGTGGTCGTTGTGATGCCTAAGAATCAAGTGAGTAAGTCCCAGTGGTGGATCACTTTTCTACCACTGAATCACTTAGGGTGGGGTGGGAGTGGGGGTGGGCGTGGGCTGCTGGCTTTAGGCTTTGTCAAGTGTAGGCCTGTTGGCACCCAGATGAATAGGACCCCATTTTAAGAAACAATGGCAGGTGGTCTTCATGGCCCTCCTTCAGCCCTCCATCTTTGCCTCTATGCTCCAAGGTGGCACAGCCCTCCCAGCATGGGAGGGAGACAGGCTTGGAGACTGCAAGATGGTTGGGGACACAAAAGGCCTGTGTAGCTTTGGGATGTCTGGGTGGACGTGTGGGATCTCTGCTCCTTCTTGCTGTAAGCCAGGCCCGCAGCTCAGCTGTCCTGACTCTGGCCCTGGCTCTGCTGCCACCCAGACCCTGTGCCAAGGCAAGGATCTGGTTGGGCAGCTTCTGCAGGGAGTGACTCACAGTGCTGTAGACCTGACATTGTGGCTGCAGCATCTTCACCTGCTTGCATTGGTCCTGAGGAGGACAGCCCTGTTTACCTCTTCCTGTAGGTTCAGCAGGTCCACGGAGGCTGAGGGTCTGGAAGGCTTGGGGTAGGCAGAGGCGAGGATGGTTTGGTCTTGGGCAGCTGCCCTCATGAACTGTCCTAAGAGCCACTGCTCTCCTTGCCCTCCCCCCCCCACCTGTTCACAGAGACCTTCCTCCCGCCCATCACTGTTGGCTCTGCGGGCTCCAAGCCCTACTTGCCAGCCCCTTTTCTGCTTTCCTCTCTGCCCTGGCTCTAGTCCCACACTCCTGGGCCAGAGCTGCATATCCAGATATGCTGGTCCCCTTGAGAACTTGCCAGGCAAAGTTAGTGCCTCCTTGTCCTCCACATGGCCGCAGTGCTCTGTTCACAACTCAGGGACATCACTAGCTGTGATGTCCTCAAGTCTGTTCCTTTGTCTGCCTCACCCACCAGCTGTGGGAACTTCTCTGGCAGGAACTGAGCTCCATCTTCTTGTCTGAGCCTTGCAGTGCCATCCTGTGGCTCAGTTCGGGGTACATGATGGGAGTCAGCTGCTATTTGTTGACTCAGTAGTTCAAACCCTGAAGTTTCTTCAGGAATATATGGCGCATGTACCTCTATCACAGTGTCTCAGAGGGTGGGCATGGGTTTTGGGGAGGGGTGGGGCAGAGCCGCGTTGGGGTTGGTGTTCCTTGGGAGGGAAAGCAGGACATCCTCGTTGCTTTTATAGCTGTTGGCCATCTTGCCCCAGGCTGGAGGCTCGTCAGGACCAGGACCCATGTCTCCTGGGGCCCAGTCTGGTATGGTTTCTGTAATGCCAGATTTTATAATTAGAGAGAACTGGAGCGGTTATTTCGTGAGCAAAGCCCTCATTACCAGATAGGGAAACTGAGACCTGAACTAAAGATACTTTCTCAAGGTTGCCAAGCAGAGAACTGGAGCACAGGCCCTGGGTTTCCAGCCTGGATTTGTTACCACGCTTCCTCTGCCTCCCTCCTGCATGCAGCCAGCATTCACGGGAGCATGAGGAGTTTACACAGTGTTCCAAGTTAGAGGGAAGATAAAGATGAGGAAACCTGGTCCTGCCTCCAGGAGCTTGCCTGAAGGTGTGAGCTGCAGGGGGTGGGTGGGTGAGTAGATGATGAGGAGAATATCAGGCCCTAACCCAAGAGGCTGGAGCTGGGTGCAGCCCCAGGTGGAGTTACAGCAGGCAGGTCAGTTGGTGTTCGGAGCCTGGCCTGGTGGACTCCAAAGACCACTGGGGTGAGGAGTCCATGTTGAGATTCATGAACAGGATGAAGGGTTGACTGAACCCAGGGAAAGCTACTCCAGTTGTGCTGACTGTAGTATGCTCTGGCCTGAGGGCCCCACTCCCTTCCTGGGGGACATCCGCAGAGGAGGCTTGGGCACTGGGCAGCAAATTTTGTCCTTGTCTGAAATGTGTGGGGGAGGGAAGTGTGCATACATGACTGACTCTTTCCCCTTGTACTCAGGTGAGTGCATGTTTTGTTTTCTTTCAGGTTGATATTTTAGTTGTTTTTTTCCCATCCTGGGTCTTCAGTCAGTTGAAGCTTGAGTGCTGGCTCCTTTTGCCATTTTTATTATAGCCCTTCTTGCAACTTCTTGGGCACATAGACTGGGAGACGGGACACCTGCAGGCTCAACTCCACTGACAGGTTAAGACCTCCAATCTACCCACATTACCTAGACTGTGATGTTTGCTAAAGAGGTACCTTGGATTATGATCCAAAACATGGCCAGGCTATACACTTCTCTAGAGAAGGGAAAGTGCTATATCTACTGTTCACACCTTAAGTTTACAGTGCACCTAAGGTTTATAAAGGTCACGCCATCTTCAGAAGGCAGGTAGATTTTCTCCCATTTCGCAGGTCAGAAATTTGACCTGCGTAGGCAAACGGAGCTGCCCGAGGGCCAGGCTGGGGCACATCCAAGCCTCCTGTTTATAAATTCCATTATCTTTCTACCCTACTAAACTCCAACCATCTATAAATCTCCGGAGGACCTGGGACTTAGAGGAGCTCAATAAATATTTGTTGAGTGAGTGAACTTTGGCTATTTCTTACTGTTTTCTTCTTCTTTTAATTAATTTATTTTTTTTGGGGGGGGCACTCTTAACCATAAATGGCTTGCTGTTTGGCAGCTAAAGGAACACTACTCTGTGAGGTATTTGAATTTCTTGCTACGATAAGGAACTAGTGCATTCTCTTCTCACCCAGCCTCACCTCCCGGAACTGGGTCATGCACACTGAATAATTAATTCCTTGAATTTTTTACTCAGTGCTTCCTTTTCCTGATGATGAGCTGCTCTGTCAAACACTGATCTCTGAAAGGTCCCCGGCAGAGGTGGGGCCTGTTGTTATCAGACATCTTCAGATGGCCCACCTGCTGGCCTGCACAGAGGACTTTTGGAGGAACCAGGACAGCTTCCAGCGTAGTATTGGGTCTCCTCCTGCGCTGTTCCCATCACCTCTGGTCCGAGGAAGGGCATTCATGGGGTTCTGTGGGGATAGGAAGGCTCAGCTCTCCCTTCTCACTGACCTCTGAGCTCTCCAAGGTTTCATGGCAATGACTGGGGAAAGAATAAGTTGACCATGTCAGGTTGGGAAGGAATGGGATCAGGGAGGCAGTTATCAAAATATCTGCTGGGTCCGCTTGTTCCTTAAGTGACACGTGGGTCATGTTGCTTAGAGTCTTCAGGGGATCCAGATGACCTCATTAGAGCAACCTAATTAGACTTGAGATTAATAGAGTGGAGTGGAAAAAGAGTAGACTGAGCCCAAAGACTCACGCTCTAGGGCAGTTGATCATTGCTTATCCGTTCAGGCTTATGCCAACCCCACAGCCCCACCTGTCCTCCATTGTCTTATTAAGGAAATAAGGGGGGGCCTCCCTGATGGAACAGGGGTTAAAGTCTCAGCACTACCCAGCAATCACTAGCCACAGTGGCATGAGTTCAATCCCTGGCCAGGGAACTGACACACATGGCGTGGTGGACCTCTCCTGTCTCGCCTGCTGCTCCCCTCAGCGGTGTATTTTGGTCGATCTGCCTGTTCTACTCCCCACTCTGTCTCTGCTGAATCCTCTCAACCCCCTGCACCTCTGGCCTATACCCCAGTTCTTGTATACATAAGTAAGTACAATAATTTTTTAAAAAAGGAAATAAGGGAGACAAAGAGGACTGGGAGCAACTTGAAGGAGCCTCCTAGACTTCTCAGTGACTCTCAGTGCCCTCTACGTCCTCAGATAAGCACCATTTTCTCCAAGTAACGGACTCCTCACATGGCTGGAGTTGCTGGTATAGGCACTTCTCTCTGAGCTTTGTTGTTTTGCCTCTTCTCCCCTGCCCCACCCTGAGGCAGGCCAGCATGCAGATAAGAAGTGCCTGTTGCTGCCCTTGTCTCCTGGCCAGCATCCTGGGAAAAAGTCTGATGTGCTGAAAGAACATCAGGGGCCTAGTTGAGCATATCGGTATAGGATAGGAGTGGGGGAACATCCTTGAATGGAAAGAATGATTAGGGTTTGTTGTAACAGCCAAGCTCTTGAGGACCCAAGGAGCCTGGGCTCTGTTGAGTAGCTTGACTAGAGGGGACCAGAGGGGAGATTTGTTCTTAAGAGAAGGACCTCAAAATTATCCCCCTCTTTCCTGGCCATGCTTTATGGGCAGGAAACCCAGACAGTCTGGAGCAGTAATAGACACAGTGCTGGCAGAAGGCTGCCCAGTGGGAGCTAAGAGATACTCAGACAATAAAGGGGAAGGGGCTGTAGAATGTTAAAGCTGTAAGAGCTCACAGATCATCTAATCCAATTCTCCTACTTTATGGGTAAAGATATTGAGGCCCAGAGACATGTCTTAGCCAGACCCATAAAAGCAAACTGGTGCAAGAACTGAGAGAGAAGCCAGGTCTCCTGTCCCCGGTCATCGTGAGGGTCATATGAAGTGTCTCTTTCCCCACCACCACACTTCTGCCTGACATAGGCCCAGCCACCACGCTTCCTCCTTCTCTCTTTGAACCTGAGCTTGATTGTTTCCGGTGTGCTGTACTGTAGAGCACTGTACTGCTTCCACCTCGTTGTTTATTGAGACCTAATAAAATGTGGCGTAACATGGAGAGGTCGAGGCTACGGCCCTGGTGCAGGCTGTTTGACTTGCTCTTGGCAACTTAATGCTGTTAAGTCAGCATTATTCTGTTTATTGTGTGTCTTGGGGTGAAAGATTAAGACAGGAAGTGAAGGAGATGGTTGCCCAGACTCAGTAGTTGTAGCAGTTTGTGGATTTGTCATTCAGATACAAATCACCTTTGTGAGATACAAATCACCTTTGTGGCTAAGCAGGTCTGAGAACCCCAAGCTGAGAGCATGAGTGGAGTGCTGTCCACACTGCCCTGACTCTCAGAGAGGGCACGTTGGCATAGAGGCTAGCCACCCATGGCTGGGTTGATGACACATCATCCGGAAGTGAAGTCATTCACTCATTTGTTTCTTTAG